TTTTATTATTATTAAAATTAAATGAAATAAATGAAGAAATATAATAATGATGTGTAATAATAAATGTTCAAATTTAAAGCTGGTTCAATGTTCTAACTTTTGACCTACATTCGTCATTGATTGATCTTCTTCTCTTCGTTTTACATTTTTTACATTTCGTTTTAACGAATATCCAATTATTATGTAATTTATACTTTATTTTTGATCCTAAAGTGCTCATGAAACCAAAACATCCATTGGTAAATTCATCTGTTTCTTCATAAACTTCTGAACGACGTTTAAACAAATTATTGGGTCGCGAATTCGAAAATATTGATGAGAATGATGAGAACGTATTTGATTTAGATCTGTTATTTTTGGAGTTGCTTGGTAATGGAATCGGATCGTCGTTTTGAGGAGTGTGAAAAAATGTTGACTGATCCATTGGTGATTCCGAATAAATATTTTTGAATGGGAATGGATTGGAGAATGAAGTTATGAGTTTTGGTCGATATAATTGTTGTGAATTTTGAGCGTTAATGATGGCTGGTGACATTTTTTTTTCTTTCCTTTTTTTTTTTTTTTTTACCAGGAAGGGATGGTTATTTTGAAATGTCATATCAAGTCATTCAGGACGGGACGTATTTATATTTAATTTTGATGTAATGACGTATTTTTTTTTTCTGATCGAAATTCGCTCTAGAATTCCCGCCACTTTAATGAAAGTGATTGACATTACCTCTTTCAAAAAATAAAAGAGTAAACATAAATTTAAAAAAACGCCTTTTGTTTGATCCGGTAGAACTATAAATAGGTTAGTTAATCAATTACCTGATTTTGTTCGGGTTTGTAAATCAAAAAAAAAAGGGGGGGTGGGTGGTTATTAATTAACAAATCTCCTGTTCCTTCTGTTTAAATCACTAAGAAAGTTTGGCGTAGTTCAATGATCGCAATTGTCACAAAGAGCCCATATAAGGAAGGATCTATCAGTTGCTTTACCCGAAATTTCAATGAATGGGTTCCCGTGGAACTTTTGATTCTTTCTTGATGTGGTTTAAGCTCAAAAAATTAAATTCGGAAATGCACTCTCTGTCTCTCCTTTTTGGTCACAAGTTCCATTTTGTCATCGTGAAGCTAATAAATACAAATTAGTTGATCTCGCGATCAAAATCTTTTGGCGTTTTTGTCAATCTCCTTTTACCCTTACCGTACAAATATAAAATTTTTCCGAGTGCGCACCTTTTCTTATGACAAAAGACGTCAATATACATGGAATCCTTCGTTGACCGCAGTAACCAGGGTATGTAACAAATCAAGTAATTAATTCATGAAATAAGGCTAAATTTGGCAATCAAATGCGGACCGGATTACAATCAATCTTTAAAAATTTTTTTTTAAAAAAAAAAAAAAACCAATACTAATTTAACTAAAATAATTACTTTCATTCATTTTCGGAATTTCTAAGGTAAGTGATTTACAAATTTACAATAAATTTCCCCTTAAATATCATTGCATTAATGTTTTGTTCAAATCTTTTTTTTTTTTTTTTTTTTTTTTTTTTTTTTTTAAATTAAAATTTTATTTTTTTTTGTCTTTTTTTT